GAGTTCTCCAGGCAGGACCGGCACTCGGCCGTGTAGGCGTACTTGGAGTCCTTCTTGGCGAAGACGTAGACGGTGTTGGTGGCCATCTTCTCCTGGGCTATCAGCACCTGGGGCGGAGTCAGCGTGAGCCTCTGGGCCGGGTTAGGCTTAGGGTTAGGCTTAGGGTTGGGGGGCGTACCTTCTCGGAGCCGTTGATGATGAAGTAGCCCCCCGGGTCCAGGGGACACTCGTTGAGCTCGCACAGGTCTCGGTCGGTCAGGCCGCTCAGCAGGCAGTAGGTGGAGCGCAGCATGATGGGGATCTTCCCGATGAAGGTCTTCTGGTGCTGCGTCTGCAGCTGGTCCTCGCCCTCCTTTATGATGGTCTTGGTGATGTCCACGTACAGGGGGGCCGAGTACCTGGGGGGCAGGGCCGGGGGCCCGGTCAGACCAGCTGGACGCGTGATTCAGGGTCAGGGTTAGGGATCAGGATTAGATTCAGGGTTAGGGGGACCTATCTGAGGTTAGGGGTAAGGAGTAAGGGTTAGGTGTCTGGGTCAGGGTTAGGGGTCAGGCTGGGACCTACGTGAGGTTAGGGGTTAGGGGTCAGGGTTAGATTCAGGGTCAGGGTTAGGGGTCGGGTTAGGTTCAGGGTCAGGTCGGACTGGGACCTACGTGAGGTTTCTGAGCCGGGCCTCGTTGGGTTAGGGTTATGTTCAGGGTTAGGGTTAGGGGTTTGGTTAGGCTGGGACCTACGTGAGGTTTCTGAGCCGGGCCTCGTTGGGTTAGGGTTAGGGGTTAGGGTTAGGTCGGGCTGGGACCTACGTGAGGTTTCTGAGCCGGGCCTCGTTGGGCATCATGGGGGACGGGGCGCCGTCCCTCTCCCAGTGGGTGGGCTTGGACAGGTAGATCTGCTCAAACTTCAGCAGGTATCGGGGCTGGAACAGACACGGTGACACTCATGCACACAGATACAACCTGAAAGTTCGGCTGGTAACCAACCCAGACCCCCGAAGCCCTGGGAGACCCCCTGAAATCCTGGGAGACCCCCTGAAGCCCCCTGAGATCCTCTGAAGCCCCCATAATCTCTGAAAGCCTGATTTCCCCCTTAGACCAGTGAATCCCAGCTGCTATTCCTTGTTAATGATTCTGAGCGTGGTAACTGAATCCCCAGCTGCTAGCCTGGAGCTAGCATCTCAGCTAAGATGTTCAGACTGATTCAGCCTCTATGGATCTGATCTGGATCGGGTACAAGTAGCAAAGTGCTGCGTGCCCTAAACCGCTCCCTGACTACTGGAAGTCATGTTTTAGTGAATAAAGGCTAGACCCTAACCCCCCCGGGTCCGGACTCACCGGCTCCTCCACCTCCCCGGAGGTGTGCTGGGCCTCAGCCTGCAGGTCGATGGGGGGGGCGTCCTCCACGATCCTCTGGACGGACATCTGGATGAACTCATCGAAGGAGTCCAGCTGCTGGCGCACCAGGCCCTTCTCGTCAAAGTAAGAGCTGCAAGCAGGGGCCGGTTTTAGGGTTAACCCCCCCAGAGGGCCGGGTTAACCCCCAAGCCTGGGGGGGGGCTTAGGGGTAAACACACCACACCAGGGGTTTATGGGTAAAACCCCCCGCAGCCTAACAGGATCTGATGTCTTTTTGAATGGTTAGCTGATTTATTTAGTTGGTTTACGGGGTGCTTCTCTGTGGGGTTAGCTGATTTATATGCTATGTCCTTTATTAATTTAGTTATCTATTTGTTTTGGTACCTGATGACGATCCAGCAGGCCTCCTGCCACAGGTCCGGGGTGATTTCGTCATCGTCCTCGTCGTACTGGTTATCTGTGGGTCAGGGTCAGAGTCAGCCCTCCTCCCAGGTAACACACACACACACACAATACCGGACCCACGGACCCGCCATCAGCCCCCGCCGAGCACCGGACACACGCCGGGGGCTCGTGCTGTCCGGACCGAGCCAGGGCGCGTGCAGGTGTGTGTGAGCAGGTGTGTGTGTGTGAGCAGGTTTAGGGTAAGGGTTGGGGTCTTTTAAACTAAAAGCTGCCTGGTCTCCGTCGTTAGCCCCGTTAGCGGTGCAGCTAGCGTTAGCAGCGGTGGCTGAACGTTATCCACATTAGACTGATCAACTGTTTACTAACGTTTATAAACGACCCCCCCACGTGTGAGGCCGCTCGGCACTAACCTTCGTCCTGGTCGTACATGATTTATCTTCAGAAAATGTTAAGGCTCCGAGAATATGAAGAAAAACACACCGCTTTCACCGCCGCCAGGACGCCCCGGAAGTGCATCTCACTTCCGGTTTCTTTGTGCTTCCTTTTATGGAATCACAACAAAAGACCGCCATCTTATGGATTCCGTCGGGAAGTGACAAAACATTGGTCCTACCCCCCCCATGAAAATCCGAATATGTTTTCACATTTCTTCACATTTTAGATTCACATATGAAATTAAATTATTTTTAATGGTGGAACAAATGTTTCAAATATATATTTATGACTCCAGTTTTTCCATCTCTGGTCTCATTCACTCCAATGGAGACAAATGTGTACTTTGTAAGACAGTGATGAGCAGCAGGCTTTAAAGAAACGACCCCTACCCACCTTTCTCTCAGAAATCTGATTTAAAAAGAACAAGATAGGTGCATGTTTATTTCCTGCTGGCTCAGGTGCTTCCTACCTGGGTCTGAGAGCTGGGCAGCACTTTGTTTGGGAGGCTCTGGAGAGAAAATCTGTCTGTGGGTTCACACTGTTCCATCCAGCACTTTTCAGCTCAGAAGTCAGATTTACTAGCTGACTCATCCCTCAGAGCGTCATTTTGAATGGATCCAAATGATGTGAGAGCCAAATGCATCCTTTCTGTTCAGCAGCACCACTCTGTTTTAATTTTTTTCATCAGTGGTCCATGGAAGAGTCAAACGCTTACATGGCGAGGTGATGAGGGCTGAATCAGACCGAGGGAAACACAGACTACGTCAGGAATCATGGAAGACCATCACACCAGTGCCACAGGAAGAAAGGCAAGAGATTTGACACGAGAGGAGAGTTAGTTTCAAACTAAAACAGGAACTGAGGAGACCAAGAAATCCCAAAACCAAACCACGAACCTCCAGGCCTCCACATACGACGGCACACTGAGGGATTTATCCCTTTACCAACAGCCTGGCTGCCCAAAGAGCTGCCCAGCAGTCTGAAAACAGAGGGATTAAATCATCTAAAAAAGATGGAGCATAGTGCCGTAATAATAGAAAAAACTGTAAAAGTCACTGGACTAAACGGCAAATTATAAAAGTGCATTTTCAAACAAGAGGTGAAGCACCTGGTTTCATATTGAAAGGCCATTCCTTCCACAGCTTTGGGGCCAAGATGGAAAACGCTCCCTCGTCTGATCTGTGGAAGAGCTTTTGCCCTGTTTCAGTTCTAGTGTCCCGGGTTAGGGTTAGGATGATAATGATAAGTTAAGATGATAATGATGGGTTAGGGTTAGGATGATGGGGTAGGATGATAACGATGGGCTTTTAGGGCTGAATGTATGTGTTGTACATGTTGGACATTTAAAGCAGAGAACATGGGGACCAGATTTGGAAAAGTAAACTGATCATTTGTGAGGTCTGACCCGGCCCTTAACCCCCCCCCCCCTCCGATCTGTCTGCTTATGAAATATTTGTGGGTGGAGACGGAGTCCCTTTTCCATTGTGGAGCGGAATCCTTTGGTTCTGATTTTGCTGCTGGACTTGTTTTTCTGCTCTGCATCAGTCTTAGTTTTCGGCTGCGTCAGCAACATTTCCGCTCAGACAGAATGTTGATCCAGAGATTAAGGCCGGAACAAAAGGGGGCAGCAGCCGCCACAACAACAGCAGCTCACATGTTCAGCGCTCAGCCCCTAAATACAACATCAGGCCGGGGCCAGAGCCACAGCTGCAGCCTCACAGCCCTCAGCCCCGGGTCGGATCTAGCCTGTTTCAGGATGCTGGTTGGGACTCTGCTGCTCATCTGTGTGATGGTTCTGTTCTCTGCAGGTGAGACGGGGCCAGGCCTCACACACCTGCTGGCTTTCTGGGGGAATAATCTGTTTTTTAAACAGTGACCTACTCCTAAATTGAGCCAAAAACTTTCTGAATAACGATGCAGATGAGATGGGCTAAAGTTTGGAAAATAAACCTGAGTTTCTTTTTCAGATGCAGAGGATAAGTCCAGGCTCTACAGAAGGGTAAGCACGCCATGTCTACATCCGTTTGTTTCTCTATCCGTGTCTTTACTGTCTTAAATCATTAACCTCACATCACTCACTCATTCACCAGCAGCACCTTCAGTGAACTGCATGTTCAGTAATGCTGATTTAAGGGCTGAACAGTGGGTCCGTCCACAGCTGGCTCCTGACAACATGGCGGCTATGGTTCTGATCCCGGTCCATTTTCAGTTCATAGAGTCTGTCTGTGTGTTCACTGAGAAGGATCGGGATCAGACCTCTGCTTCAGCCTGGGATCAGCTGGAGGCTCTCACAGAGTTTCTGGGTCGGATCAAAAGTAAAAAGCACAGCAGAATTAATGATGGAGCAGCTTTTCTGCTCCTCTGACACAGGAAGCTGCTCATTTTGGAGATCTTACAACGGTGAAAGAAAGAAAGCAGTCCCAGAAACCCGTCTAACCTTAGACCCAGACACAGATTCTGCTCAGAATGATCTCACAGCTTCTTCCCAGTAACATAGAGGCCGGATAAATCACCTCTAGGGGAACTCCCAATCCTTAAAGGGAAACTATGTGAGCCAACAGGTGAAATCTCAGGGCTGTGGTATAAGTAGGGCTTTCAGGGCCTGTGCCGTTGTCTTAATGTGATTAGTTTCCCTTGTATTTCCCCCTGCAGCCCTCCTGTGTGGGAGTCAGTGCCACTCAGATGTGTCCTCTGAATTACTCCCCAGTGTGTGGCAGCAACGGCATCACCTACCCCAACGAGTGTTCTCTGTGTGTCCACCGGCTGTAAGTACCCAGGCTTCACCAGAGGGAACACAGTCACACATAGGGACCTCCTTCTGCAAGAATAAATACATCCTATCTATATACATTCACCCATTGATCCAAAACTTAAGGAGCTAAGGTCCGTAAAGAAGCAGAGGGATCGGCCTGTTAGCATTCAGCTGAATAATGTCTCTTTTCATTCAGGGAGAAAAATGCTGACATTTTGATAGTTAAAGATGGGCCCTGCTGAGAACCTACCGAGTTCCTTCATGCTATGCGCCTCCTCTCCTGCCTGATGCCGTCATCACCTGTTTCAGAGTCTGTCATTGTGGCTGTCACATGCTCACAGAAGGCCGACATCTATGTGCTCATATTCTTGTTAAAACTTCTCTTCCCCTTTTCACATTTTTCTTCAATAAAGATTCTATTTTCCTCTGGATGTGGAGTCGTTTGTTTAAATCCTAACTAAAACATGATAGGGTTTGATTTGAAGTGTTTAATGTTGGTTAGATACAGAGAGGAGAAAAGCTGGAAGGGTTAGGGTTGATTGTGAGGACTCCTAAGACCTCTGAGAGGCTCTGCTGTGGAAGGACCACCACAGTGGAATGACATGCTACATTTTTTTAAAGTTCATAAATAAGTAGAGTTCATAATATTTAAAAATGATTCAATTGTGTGCTGGCTAAAAGTTTAAATATGATATGTAAAGTTAGATAAATAAAACTATTCGTAGGTAAGATATACATTTCTAAAGATTACGTTTTTACGTTTATTAAGTCTGTTAAACTATCCGTAGCTACGTGTGTAATCTAACCTGTTACCTGTCATGTGCCAATCACGTTATTCCTGTTTTATGATTGGTTGTTTCATCATTCCTGAGCCAGTCATGGCAAAGTCTCTGTGAAGGGGCGGGGTTAGTGGGCAGGTGGTGTGAAGAGCACTGAGCGCGCGCGACAGACGCCATTAGACGGAGAGGAGAGACGTCCGGAGAAGTGGTGTGGGGAGTAATTCAATTTAATCGTTGACTTCGACTGTTCGTGGTACTGAAAAACTTTTGGCTGTCCTGAAAAGGTGATTATGATGTATATGCCTATACTTTATTCTCGAGCCATCATAGTTTAATGAAACTAGACGTGTGAGACGGGTTAGCGACTTGCTAATTAGCGCTAGCATTCGGTGCTAATGGGCCTGTATAATATAGCTTTAGCGTAGTGATATTTCTGAAGGTAAAGCAAGCTAATACTAATTTAAAATTAGATAGTGTTCGATAATTTGTCTCAATTTAGATTTTTTTAAGGATATGGGTACTAGAGAGAGACCAAAGTGGTTTGAGGGTCAGTCCTGTCCTGCGGAGCTGCGCTTCTTCATTGTGACTTCGCGCGCCATTTCCTGCGTTAGCTTTGAGTCTACGTTAGCTTAGATTCAAGGTCATAGCGTTAGCTTGGATTGAAAGTCATATTGTGTGATGGCCCAAAGGCAAAATGTTAAGTTGTTAATTCAATAGCACTGTTTTGAAGATCATTTCAAGATTCAGAGGAGACGGAGGGTTTTTGGAGGGAACAGCTCCAGGACACATAGAAGGGCCTCATCAGTTGATCCATTCATCTCTGATCAGCTGGAACATGGAAACCTTGCGGTGCTAACAAGTGTTTCAGTCTGATCCCATGGTAATTATATTAAACTTTGTTAAGTACAGCGTGCAGGTTCTAATGATACAGATGCTGGTGCTAATTGATGATGCTACTGATACTAATAATGATGCTACTGATGGTAATAATGCAGTGGTGGGCCGTCGGGGCCTTCAAGGCCTTCTCTGCAGGCCTAAGAAAATATCTGAATCACAGACTGATGTTAATCATATTTCGTCCATGGAGACTTATTAAATATCTCTAAATAGTCTGTCCGCTTCCTTTCATAGCTTTTCTCCTGGTTGCGCTGCTTCCAGACATGCATTTTCATTTAAAAGCATTTAACCAATCACATTTCAGACATCCTTTGTCGCTAGGCAGGGTCAGAGTCAAAGATGTCTACCTGGAGGCCTTCACAATCCGTTCTGCAGGCCCCCCCCCCACAGAAAATGCATGTCGAGTACATTGTTGCTTCAACCAATCAGATTTTAGGTTGGTGATGCCTGGGCCTGCTGGAAGGCCTTAGGCAACGTCACCGTATTCACACCCGCTGATTGGATAGTCAGATATCCAATCAGGGCAAAGCTAGCAAACAAACCAAAATATAATTGTGTTGGTGTAATGGCAATTTTATGATTTGGTGGCGGATTTACTGTCAGGACCATTTTCAAAATGGATTTTTCAAGAAAATTGAGTAAAATGTTTTTATTTTCCTAAATAATATCGCGAGTTTATGAGGATATTATTGATGTATTTTTACATCAATGTTCTTCTACTGCAGGAGTAGGAGACTTGTGCACCCCTGATCTTTAGACTATTTTAAACTTGTCCCGATCCGATATTTAGATCGTATCGGTCAGCATGAGAAACTGCCGATCCAGACTCCAGATCCATTTTTTTAAAAGTCCGATCCCACCCGAGCATTAGCATTAGCATCTGTAACCACAGGTTTGTGTAAACCTTAGTTGTTATAAGAATAAATCCCTGTTCAACATGAGTCTGACAACTAAGAAAGAAGATAAATAAATTTCAACTTTAATGCAAAAAGCTGGATCGGGACATCCCTACTGTATTTCTACATAATAAGATGATTTCTATAACCATAAAATAGTTATTGAGGGGTGAATTGATTCAGACGGAGCACTACTGAAGGCCTAGGTGTGAAATGCACGGTCCGCCACTGTAATAATGATGCTACTGATGCTAACGCTGATGTTGCTGTTTCAAGTAATGATAAAACTAATGCTAATTATTCTGGTGATGCTACTGCTGATGATGCTAATGATTCTTGCGGTTGTGATGATGCTGGTCATTCTGATGAGGTTAGTAGAGGTGCTGATGATGTTAGTGGTGCCAATGATACAAAGCTCTGATATGGCTTGTCCTGGTTATTTCTGGAATAGACTCTTGTTAGCTTGTGTAACCCAGTTGACAAAAACATATTGAGAAGTAAAATAAATAGTTGGTTAAAAAACGAATATTTAAATAGAAGAATAATTAGTGATAATTCTGATTTTCAATTAATAAATGATAGGTTGATATTGTTAAAAAAAAACATGAAGTATTTGGTACAGCAGTGCTTTTACTGCGACGATTTTGTACTTTTATTTTGAAATCGGTTATAACGGCTTCCTGTAGAACTGTTTGTCAGTTGAGCGGAGAAGAACAAGGAAGGAAGTCAGAATTAGAAGTTAGGAGTTAGAAATTGGAAAAAAAGTATTTTTAATTTGTTTATGTCACCTAAGTTCTTTTTTGGAGTGCGGAACGACCAGTTTTGTGAAAGTTGAATGTTTTTTTAAGAATATTGTTTTATTGAAACGTCTCGGTAAGGTAACTCGTCTATTTTTTTAACTTATTGATGTAATCTAAGTGTTATATTATTTATCTCAGCTAAATACTTCGGTAAAAACTCAGAATTGTATTTTGTTTTGTCAAATAATTATTGTGTTAATGTCAAATGGGTATATTTTGTTTTAAATGAGTTAGCTAAAAGCAAGGAACGAACCAACTGACAGCGCTCGAGCGCCAGCGCGCGCAAGCTGAGAGGGCTGAACGGTTGAGTATGAAAATCACTGTAGTCGGTGCCGTGATTTCAGTCCGGAATGTTATTCAATAATATTCATCCTGTTTAAATACGTTATTTGTCTGAATGGTATGCAATGCTTTTCAGTATGAATGAAGTGTATGCAGTTCACATAACTTTTCTTTTGAGAACATTGATAAGTTGTACAACTCTTAGTTTCTGTCTTATTGAATCTGGTCTAACATTGACGTGTACATACCCAGTAGTGGGTTACACTTGGATTTAGGGTCGTTAATACAGTTGGGACTGCTCCAGGACACGCAGACGGGCCCCAGCTGTTCATCAGACCTGATTATCTCTGATTGGCTGGACCATGGAAACCTTGCGGTGTTAACAAGTGGTTCAGTCTGATCAGGTGGTAAGTACAGACTCCTTTTTCCAAATACAACATGCTGGTGCTGATAAATGATGCTAGTGATGATGCTATTAATGCTCATGATGCTACTGTTGGATACATGGACAGAAAGCTGAGGGCATCTGCTATGGGAAGTCATTAAGTTTTAGACTCCTGATGCTTAAAAACTATTGGTTGACCTAAAAAGGTGAATATGATGCATATGCCTGTATTTTGTACTGTGACTTTAGCATTTTAACAAAACTGGATGTGTGAGATGATTAGCGACTTGCTAATTGGTGCTACCATTCAGTGCTATTAGGCCTGTATATTGCAGTTGTTGCATTGTGATGTTTTTTAAGCTAAAGCGAGCTAATGCTACTTCAACATGAAATAGTGTTCTATATTGAATGTCAGTTTGATTAATATGCTTCAGGAAGGCGGTCACTGGAGAGAGAGATCAGGTTTTGGTCTGTCTGTGTTCAGGTGTGTCCTGTCCTGCTGAGCTCACTTCCTCATTGTGACTTTGCTCCATGTTGGCTTGCATTCAAGCTCATTGCCATTAACGTCGTTGGACTCTGCTTCTACTAACCAAACTCATGGGTTTGTGAGTACAAACACACACTCCACATGCTTTTAGTTGGTGCTAATCTCTTAGTGAAGCAGCCATTACAGTTTTAGGTCTCGCTGCACACAAGATTCAAGAAACGGGCCAGAGAGGGTCAATATTATTATTGTGTCATTGAGTGTGTGTGTGAGCCCACAGATAACATAATGAGTTTTGAGTTGTTCATCCAAGAATCCTGTTTTGAAAATGTATGAAACAAAAATGTTTATTAAAATGTAATCAATTATATGTGTAACCCACCAGTTAGGGTTCAAGTACTATTTTTTTTGTTTTCTACATACTTTTATGGAGACTGGGTTTTATTTTGAAAACCGGAAGTTTTATTTTGGTAATACAGGAAGTGCGATGCTTAGAAAAGCGCATCTAGCTTAACTTCGTTAATTGACTCAGGAGCCCTGCTCTTTCACTCACATGTGATGATAAAATAGAGGAAAAGGTATGAAAAACATATTTTTTTGGTGCTTAAACTTTTGTTTGTGTCAGTTAATGGTGTTAACTTTGTAAAAATCCTGTCTAGAGCGTGGATGAGCACAGAGGGAGTGAAGTTAGTGGGTAAACACAACACCATCCCTTGGTAAGCTAGCTCTCACTTGTGTTAATTACTGTATGATCACATGTCATGTTGTTTCGATGATAGTGATTGAAAAACGTTATTTTGCACACTTTAAGTTAATTTACATAAGATTTATGTTACTGTGGACATTTTATTACTGAACCAAATATCTGCAGTAATGCACGCAGGGTTACTACAGTATATTTATATTGATTTACATGAAAGGTATTTGATTGTAAATTGTTAATTTCATAGGTTAAAGATCGTAAAAATGTAATTAATGTTAATTCATGGAGCTTAAAGCAATGTATTTTGGTTTAAAATATAAAGAGAGTTAAACAGAGATGTTGCGTAAATGTTGAACAAAGTTTATGCATTTTACTTTGAAACATAATGTACATTTCATTAGTAAGGTAATTCATTGGTTAAAGTGTGACCAAATAATCACATTTCAATTTATGTTTTGCTTGTAATGGGTTAGAATGTAATTATTCTGACACGGTAATAATTGAAAGTCACCAAAGTAACTGTTATCTGCTTGTTATAACTTTATACAGTTAATATTTTCAAAATGCATTTATAGTTGTACAACACTTGGATTATAATGAACGAGATGAATATATAAGAATTTAGACGATAAACATGTTTGTGCAGGTCAGGTCTTTTTGATGAGTCCAAGAAAAGTGAAGATTCTAGCCCTCATGTCCAGGAAGGCTGATTCTCTGACCCGTTGATGGCGAGCCTCCCAGCTTGAATCCAGAGTCTCCACACCCCCATACAGCGGACTACCAATCTGTTTATGGTATGAACGTGCCAGTCACTTTGACTGACGCCACCTTGAGTCTACCTGGAAAAGTGCACTTGGATGAATGTCTCAGCTCTATGAACCTAGTCTGTGACGTGTACATACCTGGAAGTGGGTTACATATGCAACTTAATTTTACACTAAATATTAAATCCTTTTGTTTAGTGAATAAGTACCTGTTAAAGGGTGATTGCATTTAAAGAACAGTTTTGTTGCTAATTCTTGAAATATCAAAATGTATTAAGAGTATAAATTGTAAAAGTCAAATAGACAAACTGTATTTTCATAGCGAGTCCAGGCCCAATGCCATTGTATTAATCACTCCAGCTTTATTTATTTTGACTACATAAGAACCTGTGTTACAGATGGACAGGTTGATGACAGTGGTCAATAAAACTTAACCCTCCTTCTCTCCTCTCCTCCATCTTTCATCCTCTTTCACATTTGTCACTTACAGTACAATTATTTTTTTGGGGGGGACTCTTCTTCACTCCTCTGCTCTCCTCCTTTCTTTTCAGAGTGTTGGGGGTCTCAGTGAGCCCCCGGCTGGCCTGTTCCCTTCTTCCTCTGGAGCAGCCTGCAAGAAAGGCCCCGCTCTGACATGGCTGCTGCTGGTTAGTTCTGGTTACTTCTTTAATCCTCTGTTCTGTCCTCCTTCAGCCAGGGGGCTATTTTATTTATTTATTGTTCAAAGCTTAAAGGGTTTAACATGGACACCCAGATGGACCTGAGCTGTTCATCATTCTTCATCTCTGATGGACTGAAGCATGGAAACCTGGTGGTGGTAACAGAGGTTCAGTCTGATCAGGTTGGTGCTAATGATGCTGTTGATGTTGATGATGTTACTGCTAGTGATGCTAATGATACCAGGTTGG